TCGTGCACTGCATGTGTTAAAAACGGTGCATTTAAACTGTAAAAATATATTAATGGAAGTATGTTTTGGTGTCAGTAACCCTCTGACTCCAAAATATACTTCCATTAATATAGGTTCATCAGAGTGATGGCATGTGGACAGAAATTGCTATGTCTGGTTGGTATAGTGCTCTGTAGCGCCTACCAGAGGGCAGAAGTTGGAAAATGTTGTGTCCAGGGTGTGATGGGTCTGCAGTGGAGTGTCAGTAGAGGGCAGAATGACACCACAGATTTTTTGTGTCCATTGTAGTCTGTTCCTGTTGTGGCCGATCTAGACCACACAGTGATGGCTGAACAGAGAACAGACTGGATTATTGCAGAGTAGAACTTGATCAGCAGCTCCTGACACAGAACAGAAAAAGTACCAGAGAGTGCAGTACTGACACTGTCATTTCCAGCGCCAACTTGCTCTATGGAGCAAATGTGAACCACTGTCAGTTGTATGTGTGTGTGTGCTTGGGGTTTCATCATGGCCACCGTTTTTTCTCCTTTACACTTCACAGCCGTTCTCATACACAGGTTGTCAAATACAGACACCAGTGGTGTTCAGTTAGTTGTAATCTGCAACTTTACCACTAATGCCACTAAATCCACACTGGACCTTTAAATACAATTTCACATTTTACATACAATATTCAGTTTGGACATTTCAAATTCAAAACTGTCTGCCCAAACTGTCTGGAACTCCACATTTTTCATTATAACACAGGTAGACATGTGGGTTTGTTCAGGTTCAACTGTTCCAGACTATTTTTAAATTGTATTTTACCAGGATCATGTTTAACTGGCAATATTAGATTAAGAGGCAGCCTTTGAATGCCATATTATGGCAACTATATGTCACAGAAAACAAATTTAATAAAATTAAACTTTAAAAGTAAAAATGATTTTAGAAAAAAACAACAAGCAAAAAACTAGATCACATATTTAATTCAAATTTTAATTTTATTTACAGCACTATGATTAAATTAACATGTATTTATCATACCAGGGTTTGTTGATTTCTGACACATTAACAAATAATTTCCAGTCATATTTTCAAGCTTTCTGATATAAGTGCATGTCAAATTCATACCAAAATATTTCACAAATTAAACAACAAATGGTGTAACTCAACTACAATTAATAATATAAAACATTTTGTCTAAATTAAAACAAGTTTACATGAATTCAAAATGAAGGTAACATTACAAATAAATAATATTGGCTTAACTTAAAAAAAGCCTTACCCAACATTCCTATACATCATACTCTCTTACACACACTTGCCCTTCACACAACACTGACTCTGTCCAAATCATTAACAGGTAGCAGAACGTTGCGATGCAGGACAGGTCAAGTTTCAAGTCAAAGAGCAAATCAACAGGCAAGCGTGGGGCTCTTCCATACAGGAGAAAGGATTGGTGAATAGCCTATACTCTCATGTCTCGTACGCGTGGCATAGGTGATCCTTCCATTCAGTCTTTTTTTTTCATTTGCACAGAACGGAGCATCTGTAGGGGAGTCCTGTTTAGGCGCTCAGCGGGATTCTCCTGAGGGTGATAGGGAGTAGTTCGAGAGTGGGCAATCCCTGCCAGCTGCTGGAGTCTCTGGAAAAGGCTGTTCTCAAACTCCCGGCCCTGATCATGATGTTGCTTTTCAGGGTAGCAGAAGTGTGAAATAAAGTCATACAAGATCTTCTCAGCTGCCGTTCTGCCTGACTTGTTCTTGGTCGGTTAGGCTTGTGCAAAGTAAGTTATGTGATCTACCAAGACTAAAATGTACTCATAGCCACCTTTACATTGTTCAAGATCGAGATAGTCAACAGAGATGAGTTCAAAAGGGGCACCCTGGCACTGGCGTATGACATAATCTTCAATTTCAAGTTGCATAAAAGGCCAATAAAACCTTTCTCTTGCCAAGTGGATAACTTTGTCTGCGCCAACGTGTCCCATGTCATCATGCATTTTTCAGGTTCACCACCTCACAGATGGAAGCATCTTCTTTCTCAGCAGCAACTACCCCACTATAGACTTAAAAACAAATGCTCCGTACAGACAAAACCTTACAGCAGCAGATTCTGAAGACAGACAGGAAGGATGTCCACAGTATCTAAAATATGATGCCTCATTACTAACATGTTGAAACAATTAGTCAAAGTGTGTTAATCTGTATGTTAGAGTTAGAGCTTTTGTTGTAGATAAATATCCTCCATCATATTGATCATATGTTCTTTATTTTAGTTTCAGATTTAACTGTAGAAAATGAAGGAATAGACAACAGCAACACATAACATGTTTGAATAAATTCAAGAGAATCAGGCTTTCAATATTTCTCAGGTTTATGATATCTGAACAGGCATGTCTTTGACTCCTCAACATCCCAGACAATCTCTGTCATTTGTATAGCAATACTCTGCTGAGTATCCGGTCAATATCCGTACTCGTAAAAATATTTCATTTAATTTCCTGTTTATTAGACAGGGACGGATACAGTTTACATAGAGAATTGCTTTACAATTATCCAGTGCAATTTATAACATCCCATTTATATCTGCAGCTAATTTCCACTGCCCGTCCCTAGAAGGGCCTTTGAAATAACAGACATAAAACAACATATAGCAACTTTTATTTAAAAATGCTTGTTCTGTAAGTAGTTCTCTGATCAAAGACATTGCTCCAAAGTTCAAGTAGCTTAACATCAGTTGAAAGTTCAAAAATGAATTTTTGCATGAAAACAGTTGACAAAATGACAAATTAGCATGTAAATGTACCATGTATATCATGTAGTACAGTTAATTTCACACCCCCTCAGTGCTTTGTGACTTTATTTATTCATTCATGCTGGTCACTATCACTAGAGACCCATATTTTAATACAGGCTTTGATGGAAAATGTTGTCAGCATTATCCATTTCTGAAAACAAAACCTTATAAGAAACCATGTAGGATTCACAGTAGGCATGTAGCATCTGGTCCACAGGGCTGTAGTTCAGGAAATAAATGTTGGGAGACATTTTGTTGATGAACACACCAATGTCGAACCTTTCTACCCCTGTTGTGGTGTCAAACGAATAGAAGATCTCCTCCAC